TGCAAACTCTCGTCTAGATTTGTGAACATTATGCCCTTTTTTGTTGGCCGGAGAGAATGTCATGCTAATACTATACTGACCCTCGTTGACAAACGTTCACGCCTGCCTTATTACCCTCGTTGATGAAAGTTCACCCCTGCCCCCTAACGAACTCTCACTAATTGCCTATATTACTGTAACAATTCTTTATCTCTTTTCAGTTCTTATATGCCAATTGTAAGAGTAATAAAGCCCAACTCTAGGGTACTCCCTAATTCTCTCTCCTCGTCTGTTTGGCTCGTACTTTCTGAATCTCGCGACTCTATCTACTCCGATCACGACACAGGCTCCATAAAAAAACAGACACCCCGCATACACCCGCTTCTGTGGCACCGATGACAGTGCGTCCACGCAGACTAAAGCAGCAGGCCGACGGAGGCTGCAGAACTACTGGCATTTCTGAGCACACACTGCCTGCAACCCCGATATGAAATAAATAGCAAAAAAACTGCGGTAGAAGTCTCCTTACCTGTAACTCAAAATAGAGTATTCCTCGAATCCAGTGAATATAAGCACTCAATTCTAGCTTAGTTTGAGCATCGCATAAGGGAACACCAGCCATCAAGTCATACAAATAGTGGGCACGTTTGCTAGCTTTCCGAAGTCTCGAAATCATTTGAAATCTTTTGCGTGGATCAGAGTTAGCTTCAGCCTTGAGTTGCATCGCGAATGCCCACGAACGTTCAATTTCAAAAACGGCAAGTATGAAGAAGCGTGCATCCGTTATCATCTCTGCAGTCATCTTCTTCGGAACAACTTTTGAGCGTGTTCCCTAGTAGACATAAAGAAGAGTTTAAAAGATAAGATACCTGCTGGAAGCGTAGTGACTTGCGCGTTCTTCTTAATTTTCGAGTGACGTACTGTTGGTACTGCTGGTAATCACCATGTCTAAGGCCATGCTGATTCTGTGCAGACTTAACGATATAGAGAACTACAAGAAGAGTAAAATTAAGGGGTAAGAAGAGGAGTTCAGTGAACATATATGATATTGAAGCGTGGTTGCGAAAAGTGTAATTTATTTCTGGTAGGAGCGATCGAGTACACGCTCTTTTGATTACTACACCGGACTGACCTTTTTAAAAGTGTCAGCAAAATCAATCCTCTGTACTGACGGCGAACTGCATAATTTCGGGGACAAAGTAGCTTAGGTAGGCCCACTCATATATCCCTAGTCCCAGCATTTG